CCGGCTAATTTTTGTATTTTTAGTAGAGACGGGGTTTCACTATGTTGGCCAGGCTGGTCTTGAATTCCTGACCTCGTGATCCGCCTGCCTGGGCCTCCCAAAGTGCTGGGATTACAGGCGTGAGCCAGTGTGTCCGGCTGGCAGGCTTTTAATAAGCATTAGATGGGAGGATGGAGGAGTGAAGTGGTACTGGCAGAAGTTACCAAGGTTCCAGCCAGCATAACCAGGAAGGCTGCATGGAGGAGGCAGCCTTTGAGCTGTGGAGTGGTGGGTAGGGTGTCACGAAGTGGCAATCACTGGATTTTGTTTCTGGTATGAGGTATGGCCAAGTGCAAGAAAGAGCAGGGTGGACTTTGGTGCACTTGGTGGGGGGCTGGACTGTAGGGTGGGGAGCCTTGGAGGAAGGCAGCAAAGGAGGGAGGGGCACAGAGGATGCTGGACTGTGTTTAAGAGGCAGCAGGGAGCCATGGCAGGTGCTTGAGGAGAGGTGAGTGATGTGTTTAAAGCAGCCCTTTCTGGAGGCTCAGGCTGACACAGCAGGATGTGCACAGTAGCCCTGTCTTGAGCTAAAGCAGCTGAAGGTTTTGCCCTTTGCACTTCCCCATGTGACAATCGAAGATGCACCCCAGATTCCTTGAGGTGCCTTCCCCACTTCTCAGTTGCCAGAAATCAGCTCAGAGAAACAAACCCGAAATCAGCCCAGGTGGTTTCCCTTCCCTTTCTTGAGGGGGCTGCCGGTTCGCACATCAGGAATGGGTCATTCCTGCTTGAGAGACAGCAGCAAAATTCCTTAACATCCAGGTAAGATGTGCCGGTGGTCGATGTATGAAATCTGGCTGGCGAGTTGGAATCTGTGTTGCCAGCAGGGACTTGTGAACAGTGACAAAGCACCAGCCCGGGGAAGGAGGCCGGCCTTGCCGCAGCCTGGGGAGGCTGTCAGGGCTCTCACATTGAAGGGCGTTGATAAGCGGAGCCACGCAGGTGGGGAGACTTGAAGCAGTGACTTCCAATGGACAATCATTTAACCTTGGCCAAAGGGGACTAGGCAGGGAAGAGAGAAACGTGACAGCCGTGGCCTTCAAGTCATCAGATGAAAGAGGCGGACTTGTTCTGTGTGACTCTCCCACTCCCCAGGAAGGTGGATACGGGTGGGGGTTAGGGTTAACATTACAGATCTTGGCTCAGTAGAAGCAAAAAGGAGGGACACTCTATTTTTTATTTATTTATTTATTTTTTGAGACGGAGTCTCGCTCTGTCGCCCAGGCTGGAGTGCAGTGGTCGGATCTCAGCTCACAGCAAGCTCCGCCTCCCAGGTTCAAGCCATTCTCCTGCCTCAGCCTCCCGAGTAACTGGGACTACAGGCGCCCGCCACCTCGCCCGGCTAGTTTTTTGTATTTTTTAGTAGAGACGGCGTTTCACCATGTTAGCCAGGATGGTCTCGATCTCCTGACCTCGTGATCCACCCGTCTCGGCCTCCCAAAGTGCTGGGATTACAGGCGTGAGCCACCGCGCCGGCCAGGTGATTTTCGTAACTGAATCTTCTGTGTTATGCCAGGTATTTGAAGTACACGCTGGACCAGTACGTCGAGAACGATTATACCATCGTCTATTTCCACTACGGGCTGAACAGCCGGAACAAGCCGTCCCTGGGCTGGCTCCAGAGCGCATACAAGGAGTTCGACAGGAAGTGCGTGCCCGCAAGCCTTCAGGGACATGGGTGTGGGCTAGGTGTGGCAGGAGGAGGCATTGTGGCCACAAGTGCTCACAGAGTATGCAGTGGGGGAGGGGCCTGGAAGGGCAGAGGGTAGGGGGTGAGCAAACGTGGGGCAGTGGGGATTCATCTCCCCTCTGGGCTAAGACTTTGGAATCCCGGGCAGAGGATTCTTTCTTTTCCTTTATTTTAATTTATTTTTTTAAGAGACGGTCTCAGCCAGGCACCATGGCTCATACTGTAATCCCAGCACTTTGGGAAACCAAGGTGGGTAGGTCACCTGAGGTCAGGAGTTCCAGACCAGGCTGGCCAACATGGTGAAACCCCATCTCTACTAAAAATACAAAAATAAATAAAATAAAAAGGGAGACAGTCTCGCCCTGTCACCCAGGCTGGAGTTCAGTGGGCCCTAGCAATCCTGTTGCTTTAGCCACCTGAGTAGCTGGGACTACAGGTACGCACCACCACACCCAGCTAGTTTTTGTATTTTTTTGTAGAGACAGGGATCTCACTGTGTGGCCCAGGCTGGTCTTGAACTCCAGGCTCAAGTGATCCTCCCACCTCAGCCTCCCGAAGTACTGGGATCACAGGCGTGAGCCACCACACCAAGCTACACCCTTGCTCTTAAAGGGCCAGACAATATTTTAGCTTTGCAGGCCAGTCACTCTATTGCAACAGCTCTGCCAGACCATGTTCCAGTGAAACGCTGTGGACACTGAAATGTGAATTTCATGTCATTTTCATGTGTCATGAAATCTTTTGTTTCTTTTTCAACCACTTAAAAACACAAAAAGCCGTTTATAGCTTGCAGGCTGTACTGAAGCAGGAAGCAGGCCGGGTTCGTCCTGCGTGCCCTTTCGCACACCCCTGGTCCAGTGAATTACTGGCAAAGAAACAACTGCGTGACTGTTTCTTCACTAACCCCCCTTCCTGCCTGCACAGCCCTTTACGGCCTGCAAGGGGCATTCTGATGCCTACTATTGGTAGGATGGGCAGTTCCATTTTACAGATGGGCACACAGGCCCCAGAGAGCAAGTGACTTGTGGTCACTCAGCTTGGGTGTGGTAGAGCAGGACCCCACCCCAGGCCCCCGCCTCCCTCCCCCACCCCATGCTACTCACCACTCGTCCATGGCCTGGAGTCGGTGGACTTTTCCTGAGGGACGTCCTGCCTAGCAATCAACTTTGCAGTATATCTGGCTCGTAGACTGCGGCGGTGGGCGTTGATACGGATATCCTAGATTCCTCTGGGTTTTCCTTCTTCGAAGTCTTTTCAAACCTGTAACAGAAATCTGCTTCACAGATACCTGAGTCAGTGGGACAGTGGGAGGCAGCACCTGATTGTCCCAGAAGTCCTTCCTCCAATTGCCTTTTGGGTCCTGCTGTCATTATCAATAGGACCTTTAGAGGGACTTCTTGGTTCTCTGTCCCATGTCTTAGGCAAAGAATTGTTGCTGCATTTTGTAGTCATTTACTGGGTACCTGTATAAGCTGGAGTATGGCCTAGCCCCAGCTCATGTCCTCCTCCAGGAAGCCTTCCTGGGTTGTCCTGGGAGAATCAATAGCCCCTCCCCTGCAGCCTCACTGTCCCTGAGCAGGCACCAATCCTAACACTTAGGGGTTTGTGAATGGGTCTGCCTCCTTCACTAGGCTGTGACCCCCGACCTGTCTCTGCATCCCTTGCAGGTGGGAAAGGGTCTGCATATGGCAGGCTTTTTTTTTTTTTTTTT